TTTTTAAAAATCCTGACAAACTTTAAAAAAATCTTAAAGCAGGAACTATTTAAACCTAAAAATGTCTTAAGCAAAAAGGTGATTATCAAACATTCTTTCTTTTCAAAATATTTATTTTAAGTGGAAATTTATACAATGTTACTATATATAGGAAGATAACCACATGTAAAATAATTAAGTCAAAAACTTTGAGGAATATACTCATTTGGTCATCAAAATATAAAAAACTCAAAATAATTTTACATTAGACATTTTAATTAAAAATAGTGATAGTCCATTCAAGTAACAAGCCCAAAGCTGTCATCAACTAAGAGGAGTTACAATTCTAATCCTCATATATTCATACAAACAGTCCTTATACAATAATCACGTACTTTTTTATCCAGAACTGTCTCCTAGACAACCATAACTTTGTTACTCTTATGGAAATTACTCAGTATTTTTTGTTTGTTTGTTTATAAATGAATTTTTTTTTCAAAATACTACTAAACGACTGCATCAAATCAACCCTTGGACAATGGATTAAAATTGGGATTTAATATCTAAATTATTTTTACAAAAGTAGAAATAGCTAAATAATGAGTCTCAGGTTAAGTGAGAGGAAGGGGTGGGTTACTAATCTATAAAGGAATAATTTGTGATCTGATCAGCAGAGTGACAATGCTCAATGAGCTTTGAAAGTTGGGTCTACCTGATAACAACCAGTGTTGACACAAACCTCTTTGTCCTGGAATCCTTTCTCAAAGGTATGCATGAGTGCACTGAAAAAGAATCCCAAGGAGAAAGAAAAGTAAAAGCTGAGTTCTCGCCATGAGTAGAGTGTTGAGCAGCCCCTGGCCTCTGCAGGCCCAGCAGTGGGTGCAAACTGTCCTGGCCTGGCTATGCCCAAGAGGGCAAGGGTGGGGCAGGCCTGGACCAGGGCCCTGGAGGAGCAGCCCGGTGGGGCTGTGGTGGAAGAGAGATGGAGTCACCGATTCATTTGTTGGAGGAGCACTCACAGTCCCCTGGGGGGTCACCGTGGGGAAGCTGACCCTTACCACAGAGGCCACCCCTTCCACCCGACGGCCACCCTTGGTGTAAGGGCCAGTCTCTGCTCTTTCCCCCTTGGCTATTTTCCTCCAGACCTTCCAACTCCTGGCAGGGAGGATGGCAGGGTAGAGTTTCTTCCTCTTGCTCCTCATCCTCGGAGTCAGACCCGTCAGACTCATCGTTGTAGAAGTGAATCGTGGCTTGCACTGGGAAACTGGCCAGCACTTTCTCCCCGGATCTCTGTAGGTATTCTTGACGTTTGGAAGCGGGTAGATAAAGTCTAATATTTAAAAAACAAATATATCGTTAATCAACCCGAAAACAGTCCTAAACTCCTTCTAGAGGATTCTTTTCCCTAGAAGCAGTGAAATCCCCAGTCAGTGTTTTCCTAAGTCACCAGAACACGGAACTGCAGGCACCTAATGGAGAGACCTGGTGATAAACCCCACCCTAGTTCCGAAGTGAGCTGTCGTCTGAACGAACAAATCCAGAGTAGAAAAGATGTGCTTGGGGAAAAAAACAGAAAGAAAAAAAAGAAAAAAGCTTAAATATATAAAATTTGAAGCTCCTAACTTTCAGGTGTTAAAGAATTTAGGATTCCCATAATACATGCAAAGTATTTCACATATTCTCCTCCTCCCCATAATATCTTATCCTTTACTTTTCATTCACTAATTTATTTGCATTTTCTCCTGTGGTCTTCTGAGGAAGTGACAGGGGTTGTCAATTCAGTACTGCTTATTTGCAAAGCTGATTTCAATATCCCCTTTTTTGGATAGAGAAAAGAGAGAGAGGAAATACCCCCCTACAAGTAATGTATGACAATTCTTTACTTCCTAAGATTTTCAATAGACCAGTGGTTCTCACCCCGCCAGAGGACATTTGGCAGTGTGTGGAGACACTTTTGGTTGTCACAACTGAGGGGAAGCTATGGGCATTTAGTGGGTAGGGGCTAGGAATGCTAGCAAACATCCTAAAATGCACAGGACAGCCCCCGCAACAAAGAGTCATCCAGCCCAAAATGTCAATGGTGCCAAGGCTGAGAAATTCTGCAATAGAGAGAATGTATATCTAAGACAAAAATATAAGCATAGTCGGGCCGGGCGCGGTGGCTCACGCCTGTAATCCTAGCTCTCTGGGAGGCCGAGGCGGGCGGATTGTTTGAGCTCAGGAGTTCGAAACCAG